TAATCTTATTTTTAATTTTATAAGAATTTTAGAAAAAACTAATGTGTTTTATTTAACTAAATAAATAACTATTATTGTTCATTCTATAGTTGGAATATTATCCTATTAATACTAAGTCAAATAATATAAATGATAAAATCTATTGAATTTAATTTTTATCGAAATTTTCATTTTCATATGAGATTTTTTTCAAATAATTTTTCTTAGATAAATTATTAAATTTATTTATTATATATCATTGAAAATTTTCAAGATAAAATATTTCCATTTATCATTTATTAACTTAATATTCAATCAAATTTTAGATGAACAAACAGTTCATAGAAAAAGGAAAAATTTTATTGTTTTTTTTTTAAATAGAATGGTTAAAAATGGTAATGACAAAAAAATCTAATGGTAATAAAAACAAATCATATGACCATCAAGAACAAGAACAGTAACAACAAATAAATTTCTTCCTGGTCGACAAATCTCAAGTCGAACATCGAAAAAACAAGTACTAATAATAGTAATTCAATGATTAATAATCATTCAAAAGATCAACATGGAAAAGATTCAGATATAAATATAAAAATAACAAACAGAAAAAAAAGAGAATATTAGGTATAGACAAAACAAAAAGAAATACTAAAAATGATTTTATTTTTATGTTGTATTTAGTCGATCGGATAATACAAGTTCATCATCATTATCAGATAGTGATGTAAATCGAATAACACATCGATCATCTAGTTCATTATTGGATAGTTCAAGTTCAGAGAATGAAACAAGTTCATCATCAACAATAAAAACAGGTTAGATTTAATAACAGAAATATAATGAGACAATGATTGATTCTTGTTAAATATCTTGAGGACTAAACAATTTTCTTATGTCAAAACTTATTTTTTCTTTATAATGATTCACCTAAATCATTCTTCACTACGTGCTTGTCTAATAAAACTAATCATAGTTTGGAAAATTTTAGATTATTTAAAATCTAATTTTTCATGATTCATATCTAAACCCGCAATATTTTAGTAAAAGTT